AAGCCACTTCTTGACTCATTTTTGTGAAGAACTCGCATGAGTGGTTCGAAGCACTCAACTTTTAGTTACAAGGGCTAAGGACCAACATGTAGAGGGCCCGAAATTGAGTTCCTATAGGATCAAATATCCTTAGGTGAACCCTTTGTGAACCAAGGTGAACCATTTGTGACTCGATTACGCGCGAACGCCGCAATTCATGCACTCACTGCACCACACACGACTTTGACTTGAATTGACTCGTTCGGACGACCCCGGATGACAAAACGGACCGCACGGATGCGTCCAGGATGTCGACTTTAGCTAGGAAAGACACCCATATTGCTGTGGTTCCACACTCGAGCGAATGGCACGAAAATCGATGCACGATGGCAGGGCGCGGGCCCGGACTCAACCCAGGTTCAACTCGGGTTCGATTTGGGCTAAACTCGGGCTGAACAAAGGTTAAACAATTTTTTAAATTTTAAATTTTTGAATTTCAAATTCATCATTTAATTTTATCTTAATTGGGAGTTAAAATTTTTCATTTGAACCCAGCTACTTGAATGGAATTTGTTTAATTCCCCGCCTAATCTCGCGTAACGTTCACCTCGGCTATACAATCCCGCTTGGCTCCTTCCTGCTCCAGTCTGGCTCCTCTCTACTTCCGCTCTGCACCGAAAACTCCTCGTTCGCTCCTCCCCCCGCACCGAGAACCCGTCTTTCCCTGCCTCGTGCTCGACACAGGTCGGCCTCCCTCTTCCTCTACCGATCCCGACTCCTCTCTCTCGCTCGCCATCGCTCGCCACTTGATTTATTAGGTCTCTCCTCTGCATCGAAGCTCCATTCACCTCTTCCTCGCACCTGCTTCTTCGCTCGCAATCACGCAAGAAAGCCTCGCCTCCCTCGATCCCGCTGATCTCCATTCGCCTCATCTTCCTCATCTCCCTTCGCACGACCTCACTCGATCCCGCGCTCCTCTTTGCGACTCGATCGAAGCTCCTGATCGAAGCAGATCTGCTGCTCGCTCCCCTTCTCCCAACCAAGAGATCTCCCGTCTTCTTCCCATAGCTCCCCAATTCCTGCGCCGAAATCCCAATCGCCTCCCTCTTCCTCACGCTGAAGAAGCTCCGATCTACAAGTCCCGCTCGCCTCCTCTGTACCGAAACCCTCGCATCACTCTCGCTCACCCTCGTCGGCTTCCTGCTCGCGTGCGACAGTTGCTCTCGACAAATTCTGCTCGCACAGGAAACCCCTCGCTTCTTCCTTGCGCGACAGAAGCCTCCTCCGTTGTCCTGCTCCTCTGCAACTCAATCACAGCTCCCGATAGAAGCTCCCGCTCGCTTCTCCTTTGTACGACGGGACTCATGCTCGACCGAACTCCCTCCTTCCTCAGCATCGAAGCCCCGCTCACCTCTCGTCCGCGTCAAAATCGCTCGCCTCACTCGGCTAACCCTCCCTCGCCCGCATTGGAGGTAGGAGGAACACAGAACTCCCCAGAGCTTCTGAAAAGCTTTGGAGTGCAAAACCTTAGCGATTGCAATAACTGGATTTTAAATGCTCCGTTGTTGGTTTTATAGCACTTCAATGCAAACATTGTGAGGTTCCAATGATCATTTACTTATCGATCTTAAATACTCATTTGCTGATTTCGTACTTCGAGCACTCAAACGGGAATACTACGAGGCTCAAGATGACCGTTATTCTAGGGCTTGAATGATTCTTTGCAGGTCTATGTTCTTTTATTTCCAAATGCCTCATTTGAGGGTTGTTTTACCTGTTGTTTGGTGGGTTTAAACATTGCGATTTTTAGGGCTTTGTTTGTTGATTCACGTATTATTTTAGAGCCAGTTTGTTAACTGATTTTGGAGAGTTTACACACTATTTTGGACTGGATTTCCTAGCTGATTTTGGGACATTTAAAATTGATGTTCTGAGCTTACATGACTGCTGTTTGGGAGTTTTAAAAATTACTGTTTTATTGCTGATTTTTTAGAACTTTATCTGTTGTTTTAGAGGCATTAAACCCATCATTTGTGGGGTTGTTTTAATCACTGTTTTGAGGCATTTTTATGGGCTGATTTTGAGGCAATCTACGCACTGTTTTTTTGCGAGATTTATGTAGCCTTTAAGCATTGATTTACGCATGGTTTAGAGTTGGATTTAAGCTCTTTTGCCCACAATCTTGAGTTTCATTTGATTATTATTTAAACGCTTTTAGGTCTATCCACTCGTTGTTTTCTCACTTGACTTTACTAGTTTTGGAAGTGGGTTTGCCTCATCTTTCTTTTAATTTACTTCTTTTTAAATGGTTAAGTCATAAAGATGGGGATTGATGATTTAATTAATTGGAATATATAGAAAACCTCAAATCACCTTAAGTATAAGTTAAAGTGTAGGTTTTCTAGAACTTTAAGTGCACATCATAGGTGAGAGTCCATCCACCTAACCCTCAGTGTAGGTTTCCTAGACTTTAGGTGCACACCATGGGTGAGAGTCCATCCACCTGGTCCTCGGTTTAGGCTTCCTACACTTTAGAAGCACACCCTAAGTGAGAGTCCATCCACCTAATTCTCAGCATATACTTCCTAGAGTTTTAAGAGCACACCCTAGGTGAGAGCCCATCAACCTAATCCTCAGTGTAGGTTTCCTAGAGTTTTAGGAGCACACCCTAGGTGAGAGCCCATCCACCTAATCCTCAGTGTAGGTTTCCTAGACTTTATGAGCACAACCTAGGTGAGAGCCCATCCACCTAATCCTCAGTGTAAGTTTCTTAGACTTTATGAGCATACCCTAGGTGAGAGCCCATTCATCTGATCTCTATAGTGTAACCTCCCAAGGTTTTAGGAGCATACCCTAGATAAGAGTCTATTCACCTAATCCTCGAATGCACAGTGAAACTAGATACTTGTCCCTGATTCACAAACTGATCAAGACACTAGACACTAGGATGCACCGAGACGTAATCCATGCTTCATTAATTAAATCAACAATGAAATTCCCTCAATGACTTAACCTACAGTAAAACTCAGTGCATCGGAAACAATGACTTAACCTACAGTAAAACTCAGTGCATCGGGATTTGAGCTTGGATATTACACTTAAATTCTCCTGGTAATTGGGGAAATTTGTTAACGCCACATATGGATCATCGTACTATACTAGGATAAGTCTAGGGTCTAGGTGGCGAGGGCGATGATGACATTGCTTATATGTGCTTAAACGAGGGATACAAAGTGAGATTATTAAAATAGTATCTCCTACCTCAAGGATCTTCAAAAAGAGGGAAGGATCCATGATACTATTCGTCGATTCTTAGTGGGATCGTTGTCCCCGACACTCTTAGGTTGTCAGTAGTTCTAGCACGATTAGAGTGACTAACCTATGGACTACACGGCTTTACAAAATATTTACGAAAATAAAACAAAATCTCTTTTGTATGTTAAAAAGAACTCTGCATATAAAGACTTGAATAATAACTTTTGCATGAAAAGCTTTCTATGAAAATTTATAAAGGTACGGCTAGTCACTTGGATTGAGGTTAAGAACTGCCTTCTGTAGATTGTTTGACCAGTAACTCTTGTTCAAGGTCGGGAAGCACACAGCCCAGCTTTGAGCCCCCACTTTCACCAAGGTCTTATACCCAGTCCTAATC